GCAAGAAGTAGTGGAAGAAGAGGTCTGTTTTGTTTGGTGACATTTCACGGCACCATGACCATAAACAGAAGGATTGGGACCTTGCTTTCCGACAGCCCCCTAATCCATCCATCTGTGTGAGAAGACCGGTGCCATCAACACAGCAAATAATAAGGATATTGGGTTGGCCCTCTTCCCTCACCTACAGGTTAATTTCTATAAGTGAACAGACGCGTGCTTTTCAAGGCGAAGCATGCATGGGTAGAAGCTTGAGACCACGCCCGGCAGTACTAAAAGACGTCATCTCGTGGGGGCCAACCGCAGAAGCTTCGCTCCTCACAGAGTCTCCCAGTGGCGGCGCACCAGTTTCCTGAAAACCCCGACACCAGAGCACACGAAATATCATGGCAAATTCGAACCTGCATAGAACGCCGATAGAACACCGCAAAAAGGGGAAGGGAAAATGCTTCAAGCATCGTCGAACAACATCGGAGCCGCCGAACCCGTCAGTTGCAACCCATAAACCAATAAAGAATCGATGCGCGACTAGTCAGCCACCAAATAGACAGGGAAACATCCAAGGTCTGGAGGGTCAAAAGGGAAATGGTGCGAGTCAAACGCCGGGGGGGGGGGGGGGGGTTTCAAAGATACAAGTTACAACGGTACATTGGGGGGGAGGTCTCACCGTCTCAGTGTTTGAACCTGTGGATCGGTCAACCGGCCGGAACATCATCCGCCCAGTCAATCACATCACAACCCTCCCCTTCAGTCCAAATGAAATCGACAACATCCTTATAAAACACGCGAGAGATTGGACGAGGTAAATACTTGGGGCTGATTTTCGGCTGAAGCGCCAGACTTTCCAGGTTCTCAAAGGCAAAGGAACGAACGATTCGAGCGGTTCCGACCGCTGCTCTTCTCTTCTGAAAAGTGAGCGGCCCGGCACCCGTTTCAGGACCATGGACGCCTTTCTGGAACCGTACCTATGGGAAAACCGTGACCTCACCGCTTGAACTAGCCGCCCTCCCTCGCTTCCCGTTTGCTTCCCAGCACTTGACTGAGTCGCTCCCACTACGACGGTAGACTGATACAGCAACCATCACACTGCTGTCGAGCACGGCCAAGCCCGAATTTGGGACTGCCCTGTATCGGCCGGAAGAGAATAGCATAATCCCGCTTCTTCAAGAACAATGCCGTCTCGTGTTTTCCCCGTGCCGATGGTCTCATTTTGAATCGCATCAGCATATCTCACAATCGAGTTGTTTAGCCACAGATGAAGCTCGGGACAACGTTTCCAGGAATGGCGTTTCGTCGTGATAGAACTGATGCCTGTATCAATTACCAGCCCGGTCTAGTAGTACAGTTTTGCTGGTTATGGCCTCTTTCTCTCTCTCTTGTTCTCTGATGCTCCCTCGCACCACAGTCCCAAAAGGCCCATCATTTCCCGTCATCGCCATCGCATCCGCACCTCGGCCGCCTCAAGCAGCCTTCACCACCTTGTCGTCGTCGAACTCTATGTCCACGATTCCGTCCTTGGTCACGGCCTTAACCGTCATGCCCTTGAAGTCGATGGGTAACCGTCTCTTGAGCTCATCCGTGCACAGGTTGAGGATCTTGATGCCCTGGCCGAGCGTGATATCGGGGTGGTGATGTTTATCGAGAATTGACAGGCAGTAGTATCTGTTTTGCATCACCAGATTAGCACAAATTTCCCCTTGATTCTAGCTCGGGAGCTTGGCTCAAGTAGCTTCGCGGAGAAGCTTCAGCGCTGGTCAACATACTGTGCGTAGCCGTGAGCGGCGTATGGGAGGGGCGCCAATGACGCAAGGTAGTCCAGCCAGTACAGCGCGGGCTTCTGTGTGATGGGGTCGACGCCGCCGAGGAGCAGGTTGACGTTGTACGGCTTCCGCGACCGCAAGCTCGAGGCAAGCTCGCCACGAACGAAGTTGGCGAGGCCGGAGGGGGACAGGTCTGTCTCATTGCGCATCGAGTAGAGCTGGGAGTTTGCTTGGATGTAATCGGCGAATTGCACTGAACATCGTCGAGTTAGAGTCAGCAAATCGCAGCTTGTATATCGTGACCGAACCGGGTAGAGGGGTTGGATTCGATGCTCGCCCCTCCATCTCCGGCGGGGTTGGGAGCTCTATGATGTAGGAGACTAACCGGTATCACCAGATTCTCCAGAGTATGCAATCAGTGTGTGCTTGTTCAGGGATCTCGTCTTGTCGTCGGCAGTCTTCAGAACCGTTGCACCACGCATGGCAGCTTTGGAAGCTGCAATGATGGTGAAGTCCTTGCCCGTGATACCCAGTAGTACCTCCCTGCCAATCGCACTCCATATTAGCTCACTGCATCTCCAACAAGCACAGGTTCGGAACGCTGGTATCTCACATTCTCTCTGTGGTTCTGGCTGTTGTCTGCTTGGGTTTGTTGTGGGAAAAAAAGTTGGTGATGTTGCGTTCGTTGGTGTTGAATGTCGGTTGTTCGTCAGCCTTCGACTTGCCTTCGAGCTACCCCCCGGAACGCGCAGTCAAGCTACAGCCTGAACGGATGGGCCGTCCTGGGCGGATTCTGCCTGGCTAGACCGCCGCGCGCCCGGAAAAACCACCCCTGGTCGACTCTTTCGTGATTGGGTGCATCTGTACCCCACACTGCTATCTGATTCTCCGAGATACGTACCCACCGAACTTTTTTTTTCTGGTAAGCCCACCTCGAGCAACCAGGCGAAAAAAAAATATCGTCAATGTAGGCGGGCCAGGACGGAAAGTTGTTTGCCCAGATTCCCAGGCAAAGCACAGCGAACGGCGCTCTCTCTACCGCCCACAATGTCGTCTTTCTTCACGATACCCGGCGCCAACAAAAAACGCAAGCGAACAGACGGCCCCCCGGCCCCCAAGAAGCGAATTGCCGCTTCAAAGACGTCGAACAGAGCCCCTCCGAAATCTGCTGCACCGGCCAAAGGCGGCAGCAAAGGCAAGAAGCCGGCAGCGTCAGCACCAGCCTCCAAGAAGCGAAATGAGCGCGACGACGACGACGAATCGATCTCGGGCAGCGACTCTGACCTCGAGAGCATAGTCTCCGCCCCCGAGGAGAGCGACAATGGCTCGTCTTCCGACGACGAAGACAATGCGGGCGAGACGGCTGCCGAGCGCCGGTTGAGGCTCGCCGAACGGTATCTTGAGAACGTCAAGCAGCAGGTGGACGAGGTGGGATTCGACGCCGCCGACATTGATCGCGACCTGATCAACGAGAGGTTACAAGAGGACGTGGCCGAGGCCAAAGGAAAAGTCTACCGCACCCTCGTCGACGAGCTTGCCTTTGACCAGGCGACCTCGTCCTTTTTCCGCAACAACACCGAGACCTTCACTTCCGTCGCCGTCAACGCGCCCTACGCCTACACCACCACCAAGGACATGTACCTGCACAAGTGGAGGATACAGGACCTGCCCCAGCACCAGTTCCCGCAGACGACCAAGAAGAAGCCCAAGAAGCCGCCAGCGCCGCCGCGCAAGAGACCCGAGCTCGAGAATTGGCTGAGGGGCAACCTGGCCCAGGCCCAGAAGAAGTCGTACCAGCGCCACGTCGAAAAGATACTTTGCGTCGCGGCATCGCCCGACGGCAAATACGTCGTTACGGGCGGCCAGGACCGCAGGCTCATCATCTACGACGCCGAGACACTCAAGCCCCTCCGCGTCTTCACCCACCACCGCGACGCCGTCACCGGCCTCGCATTCCGCCGCGGCACAAACCAGCTGTACTCGTGTTCAAAAGACCGCACGGTCAAGGTCTGGAGTCTGGACGAGCTCGCCTACATTGAGACGCTGTTCGGCCACCAAGACGAGATTGTCGACATTGACGCCCTCGCCCAAGAGCGCTGCGTGAGCGTAGGCGCCCGTGACAGGACAGCACGCCTGTGGAAGGTCGCAGAGGAGACGCAGCTCGTCTTCCGCGGCGGTGCGGTGGACAAAAAGTCCCGCCCAGACGTCGACCCGCGCTCCCTCCCGCACGAGGGCAGCATGGACCGCGTGGCCATGATCGACGACGAGCTCTTCGTCACCGGCAGCGACAACGGCTCCCTGGCCCTCTGGAGCGTCACGAAAAAGAAGCCCCTCCACATCTTCCCCATGGCCCACGGCCTGGAACAGCCCCTCCGGCCGGACGAGGTCTCGGCCGACTACAACCCAGATCCCAGCATCGTACCGCCACCGCAACCGCGGTGGATCACGGCGCTCAAGTCGATCCCGTACTCGGACGTCATCCTCAGCGGCAGCTGGGACGGCTGCATACGAGTATGGCGTCTAAGCGAGGACAAGAGGAAGCTCGAGGAGGCGGGGATCCTCACATCAGAAGCCGAGCAGCAGGCCTCAAAGGTCGCCAAGGGCAAGTCAGAAGGTGCCGCTGGCGGCTTGAAGGGCGTGATCAACGACATTGCCATCTTTGAACGCGGGGAGCGCGGACAGGATGGCATCTGTGTCGTAGCAGCAGTAGGCAAAGAGCACAGGTTGGGCAGGTGGCAGATGCGCAAGGGCACCGCCAAGAACGGAGGATACGTGTTTGAGGTGCCAAAGGTGTTGAAAAAGCCGGAAGTCAACGGTAACCATAATGATGCATCGGATTCGGGAAGCGAGTAAAGAAAAGCATATAGAGATGTTCCCTTCAGGAGAGAGAGAGGGGCGTTTGGGGGAAAAAAAGCACTTACTTATAGAGGATCTTGTACCACAATGTACGAACTACGAGATGAGCCTCTACTCTCTGTCAAAGCGACGTAAAAATTGCAGCCACTCTTCGAGAAAAAATGTCTATCTCTTTGATGTGCTTTGGACGCCATGCAAACGTTCTATGGGTATGAGGGTATAGCTATGCCATTACACACTATTTGGACAAACGCCTTCGCGCCAATCAGCCCAGGAAAACGAACGCTGTATCTCTCCTCTGCCGTCTTCCACGACAGATCCAACCGCTTCATCATCTACGCCTCTCCTCAATCGTTACTTAACGGGGTATCATGATTCGGTTCCTGCTCAGTTCACGGTAAGATCCACCGTCTCAGAGCCGTTCGCAGGTCCCGGGATTTTGTTGAATGAGCTCTTCACGTCCCTCTCGATGCTCGGTATCGCCTTATTTCTTGCTCGCTGGTCTTGCGGAGAGGGCTGCTTCCTCTTTTTAGCAGACCGAGGCGGCGACTTAACCTCAAAGTAAGAACTCTTCTGCGTGGGAGTCTTTGTCAACGTGCGTGGCGACGTCTTTGGAGGTTCCGCGTCTTCGATGATGATACTCTCTTGCATTCTGACATCCCCTCCGGATGTGCGGGTCTGCCCTGGCACCGAGTCGCTGGAAGATTGCAACTCACCGAGTAGTTGTTGACTCGGCGAGTCACCTTTCTGGGGTTGGGATTCAGTCTTTTCATCCTTGCGAGCAGCCTTGGGCGGGGGAGAAGATAGGTCGCATAGTATTTCCTCACTGACACTGAGTTTCCTCTTAGAACCCCGGATAGCTGCCTTTCTCTGCTCAGCAGACCGGGCCGGTGAAGACGCAAGTGGCTGCAACATTTGACTGTTGCCCACTTTCTTTTTGGAACTACGAGAACCTGGTGCCACTAGATCGGAAGGCTGGGCCGGCGTCGATTTCAGTGCGGGGAGCATTTGATTCTCGTCCACCTCGACCGCCTTGGTTTTTGGACGACGAGGGCTAGTTCTGAGCCGACCTCCAGTTGAGTTTCCGCTGCGCGACGCCTCCCGAATTGGCGTCGCTGGCGGCTCCAAACTGTCCACGAGAGTTCGCATCACGTCGCATTGCTCGTTGGTCGGAAGAATGGTTTTGCCAGGCAATACAGAACGCTCGACTACCGGGCCAGGTTCACAAGCTTCGATATGCTGTGCATCGGGCTCGACATGCCGGGTGTTTTCCATGCCCGAGCCTTGCTCAACGCCAACGGGCTGAGCAATTTCCGAGTCTTGCTCGACCCCAGTAGTGACAGGCTTACCATGAATCAAAGAATTGGGTTTTGCCAAGAGAGTGGTTACCTCGCCGCCCTCAATTTTCGCCGGCGGACTGCTGCGATTGCTGGGGGGCAGGCCTACAGCCGGAGATCCTTTGACAGTGGATGACGGATCCTTTGGCACGTCAATAACAGGCTGTGGAGTTCTCGGCGGCGCAAGCTCGCTCTCTTGACGTTCATCTGACAGCTTGCCGGGAGTGGACTGTCCAGTAGACATGCGCTTAGCTTTCCTCTGTGCCGCCAAGGTGGCATTCTGCAGTTTCCTCTGTTCGATGATGATGGTGCGGAGTTCGCTTCGCATCGCGGGGGACGTGATGTCCCAATCTAGCCGCTCTTTACGAACTAGCTTGGTGACCACGCCGTCAGGGTCCTTCAAGAATTCACGCATATAGCCAAGGAGAAACGCGCCACAACTTGCGTGATCTTCCTGCTCAGGAATCTTCTTTGCCGTCAATCCAAAAGTGCCAGGCGGTTCGATTTCCGTGTTGCGCTTATCTCTAGCTTCTTGGACGAGATAAGCCTTCAGATTGCCGCAGGTAGGGGAGTGCCCGACGCCCAGAGAGTCAAGAGTGATGACTCTGGCTTCTGTGGGGTCCTGCTTTCGAAAGGCGATTCCTGTGTTTTTGCGTAATTGACGTTGCTTCGTGGACGGTCCCTTGTCTTTCTTTTCAGGCCTCGGTTTTTCCTTCATCTCTTCTTCTTCCCTAGGCTGGCTCTCTTCCAGACTCATCTGTTCGACTTGCTCGCCAACAGTAGAAACAATGCCTTCCTCCGACGAGATTCCTCCGGGTTTCTCCTCTGGGGTTCCCTTTGATTCTTCTTTGGGCTCATCTAGAGGTTCGCCATCTTTGACTTCCGGTTCACCGTCATCTGTCTTCAGCAGCTTGGATGGATGGCAGATGATTGCCAGATACCAGTGAGCACTTTCGTTGACGGGAACCACAACGTAGTCGTAGGAGAAAAGGTCGACCTTTGCAGTCCAGGATTTGACGCCTTCGTAGTTGATCCCTCGGCCCGCCTTGGTGTCAGTCAGCTTCGGATAGAAGTAAGTGTTCATGATGTAGATACGGTCGGATACTGCTTTGTTCTCCTTTTCCAGGTGAACTTGAAGGTGGCGTAGGTAGAAACCGATGAGATTGTCGTTCAGGTATTCTCCTTCTTCCAGGCGCGAAATATCATCACGATAGACTGACGCTCTATTCTTTCCTGTAGCAGGGAAAATGAGCGGTTTCTCATTCCATATCTTGTCCCAATCAGGGTTTTGCTGTATCCACGAAACGGGGCTTGGAGATTTGCGTTTGGGCATGCCAAGAGGAGATTCCTGGCCTCGTTTGAACGTGGTGTTTTTTGCTTCTCTAGGCGGCAATTCCTTGGCCTTTCGAGACTCAGTCCCGGCGTCATAGCTGGTGGGAGCGAAGTAGGAAGACGTCGTAGTGTCGGATTTCGAAAAACGTGACGGCGCAATCTCGGGCTTCGACGAATGCGATGAGTCTTCTGCCTTCATACTACCGCGAAGTGGTGGATTGCTCGGGGGACTGGTTTTCGACTGAGTCCACGGTAATGACATCGTATCGGCCTTGGTCTTGATCGCCTCTTTATGTTCCAGGAGCTTGATATCATCCGGCTGAGAGTCTTTTTTGTCTTCCCACTTCTCCGCAATCGCTTTTTGTTTTTCATAGATCTTCTGGAGATACTCGCTAGCCTTTTGTCAGTACCCCGAGATTGAGAGCGACCCGTCGCAATACATACCTGTCCTTGGGGGAACAGTCGGTCTTCTGTGTAGTGAAGGCTTTAACCCTGGCTTCAGCCCAATCTCCAAGGTGGTGGGCATCTCCTGGTTCAGCAAAGCCGAGCACCAGTAAGCCTCCAACATTTGGAGAAGAAGACCTCCAAATTACCGCGAATGGGGTGCCCGTGATGCTGTAAAATATTTTTGTGCAGAACATCAACTTGACGTCCAGCCACCCTCTCTCCGAAAAAGGCCTGCCTGCCTGATCGAAAGCGATGAGGCTCCTAGAGTGCTGGTCGAGCTTCAGGAGAACACACTCCTCTGGGTTCTTGGCCTCAAAGGTGTCCTTCCCTGAGACGGCACGAACAACTTTGAGGACAAGGTCTTTGGGGATGCCCCGCTGCGATATGACCGGCTGCGGTTTGACCGGCTGCGACTTTCCGAAATTCACCTTGGCCATGTCTCCTCGCTTCCGTTTTGTGTTGGCGGCGTCTGGTGACTTTCCATCATCATCCGAGATGTCATCTCCCGCTCGACGACTACGCCCGGTTTGAAAAGCGAGCTCGTCGTCCTCCGAGACCTCTTGTATATCATCTTGACCACGTCTCGGGGGTTGACGGAAAGCCTTTTTTCTGGGGGCTTCTGTCGAATCTCCACGAGCCCGCCTATTCTGTATTGGCTGGTCTTGGACGATCTCATCCTCGCCATCCCAATCATAGCCCTCGGGCTTCTTCGAGTCTCTGACTCGCAGTCCTCGGGGGCGAGGGCGATTGCCAGATCTCCTACCACCCCTACTGGAACCGCTATGCGCCTTTTCCACGTTCCTGAATTCGCTTCCGCTCGCAGTCGAGTTTACCGAGTGTGTGCTGCGGTTGCTAGCCGCATCCCCGTCCACCGACCGCTGCGAATTCGTCAAGTCGACCAATGTGGGCATTTGCGGTGAGAGCGACGAAGATGCCACGGGCGGAGCGAACATCTGTGTTGTGAGGGTGGCGTGTGCTGGGACATCTCTTGCTGTAGTCTCGGACTGTATTTTTTGACGCTTGGCTACTCTCGGGGGTTCGGTAATTGGTCGCTTGCTGGAGTCTTTGCTGAGATTATTGAAACCAGGACGCACGCCGCCAGTCAACGCCAGTTTGGTTCTTGAGTTCTGTGCCATCGTCAGTCCCGGCTGCTAGTCTGCTTGTAGGGCAGACTCACCATTGGATCCGGAACGGGAACACCGTCTTTCGAGGTCCTGCAAGGGTGATTGTCAGCAGTGTCTCTCTACTGCTGTATGTTTCGGATCGAGGCATACCCGTAAGTGGGAAACGAGTGGCAGGTGCCGTCGTAGAATCGTTGTAGAAGCTCCTCGGACCTGGTATCCAAACCCCATGTTAGTTCAGTTCTTGGTGTAAAATAGGATTTGCGCAGCCGCTTACGTTTGCCGTTTCTTCTTCATGAAAATATTCCGGCTGGAACGGACATGTGTGACCTGCGAACCGGCCTGCTTGCCTCTCTCCTCAGTCTCAATCGCCCCTTCTGCCGCATGCGCAGTCTTCTCCAGAGCTCCGTCCTCGTTGCGTTCTGCGGTATAACTTATTCGTGGGGTATGGGCTCGAGGTGTATCGGTCGGAGTCGAAGAGGGCGCAGGAAAGTCGGACGAAGACAAAGATGCGCCCGTTTGTGACGTTTCATCGCAGGGAGATCTCGCGACTCTAGAATGTGAATGTGAAGGAGGGATCACACGCTCCTGCTTCGGTCGTGAAAGTGCGGTTAGCAGTGGGGTCCAGAGGCAGAGGCTGGCCCTGCATCCACGGGGTTCACCTCAAAATTTCGGTGGCACCGAGGGGACGCTGGAGGCCAGAAAATGGTGCAGTGGTACCCGCTGACACGCGCTGGAACTAAGCGGATTTGCAACCTGGAAGTCTCGTCGCGGCCTGGGGCCTGTGCTGTGCGCGACGTGGGCAGCTCTGACGGGATCCACTCCATTAAACCCAGCGCGCCGGAGCGCGACATCCGCTGGGAGGCACTTGCCTTCTCGAATGGAAGCGTTCCCCACCATCCCCGCCGCTTGAGCCGAGAAGAAACGAGAGGAGTGTGACCACGGGTCTACACCAATGAGGTAGGTGCCCTGAGAGGGAACTATTACATACCTGATTCTCATCTACAGATAGGACCGACTCTGGTCTTCTCTTGGGTGCCATATTGCATCGCTGTAAGTCGAGGTATCGAGAGAGTGTACGAAGAGGAGAAAGTCGGGGATTACGTGGTGGGAGGGGGAGGAAGAAGAGGAAGACTTCAGAATTAAGCCAGTTGCAATGGATCAAATGCGCAAACTTCTACTCTTGGCCCGGCCTGACTTTGCTGGAAGAGAGCGCTACCCGTGGTGATGTTAGAAGAGAGGAAGTACCACGAGGGAAAGGTGAGGCACTTCAGATATGCAAAGCGGGACATGGATACGTACATGCAAGGAGATACTTAGCCAAAGCAAAGTGCCGCGTCTCTTTCCTCCCATCTTCTGACGTTACAGCGACCTACTATGGAGTATGTGGTGGCCACAATGAAGACTGAGATGAGGGAAGTCTAGCTGCATACTCTACATGTGATATATCAAGGTGAAAGCAGATGGACAAGGATCCGATGAGGAACATCCGCTGCTTCAAGAATTCCGAGGTGGAATGCATGTAAATGCCATTTATCTCACCTTTCGTCCTGGGCCCGTAAAGTACCCACCGGTAAGAGCCGTTTACGGCCCCACAGTCCACACCACCGGTTCGGTAGGTTCCTTAGCTCCAGCCGGGGACATTGTACCCAGGTACCTCTAAGGGGACCTCACAAGCTGAAGCTCCGACCAATGGCGCGCTAAAGCCACATCTCCAGCTCCGCAAGGCTGAAGCTTGTTCTCCCAAACGTGGCCTCCCACGTCGCATCTGATCGCGAACAAAAGCTTCAGTTTCCTTTTCTTCGTGATTCCCTTCATGCAATCCAGTTGCTGACAAGCGCCTTATTCTTTCTTTTCGACCATACAAAAGGTAGCCCACCTCACCCCTTCACAGGGTGGCCAGGTCTCGTCAACATGTACAACACCCTCACCCGCGCCCAAAACACGTTTGGCTTCTTCACGACGGTAGCCTTCTTCGTCGCCGCCTTCATTGCCGCCTCCGACCTCATCACCCCACGCGCGCCCTCCGTCGGCTCCCTAAAGACCACAAACGTTCAGGTCGTAAAGGGACGCCCCCACTACTACTCCTCCAAGAAGGAGGAGTACGCAATCATCAAGTTCTCCCTCGACGCCGACCTCTCGGAGCTCTTTACCTGGAACACCAAGCAGGTCTTCGTCTACGTCACGGCAGAATGGCCTGATAGCTCAAAGAAGGCCGCCGGCACAAACGCCACGAACCAGGCAGTCATATGGGACCAGATCATCACCGCCCCCAGCTCCGACCACCTCGCCAACATTGGCCCCGCCGCCATGCGCAAGCTGAGGAAGAGCGCCGAGGGCAAGAGCATCGACCCCAACCGGTAAGACCTTGTTCTCAAGTTCCATACTAAGAAGTAGGCCGTATCAGAATGCTGACAAAAATTCGCAGTGGCAAACTCCACATCAAGAACCAGAAGCCAAAGTATCAAATCACTCATCCCTCGAGCAAGATCGCCGAGGCCGACAAGGTCGTCCTGAAGTTACACTACAACGTTCAACCGTGGGTTGGCATCTTAACGTGGAACCAGAACATTGATATCGGCGGCTGGAAGGCACTCAAGGGTGGTGTCAGCAAGGTCTTCAAGCTTCCCGCTCTCAAGGTTAAGGAGAAGAAGCCTTAAACCTAGATAGGAAATTGAACATTCGCGTGATTGAATAAGAATTCCGAGCTGGAAATGCCACGTTCAACTGTGTTGTCACCTGCAGTGATATTCTTCATGGGACCTGTCTGATGGTGCATCTTGAATGCATTGATCTCCAGATTCTATCTACGACGACTGACCGTCTGAACTATTCTAGACCAACCATCTCCAAAATCGGACATTTGCCAATACAACCAAAGATCCGTCACCATGCACCCCCAACCCCAATGTAAATGCCATCTCTATACTCCATAGACTTTTGGAAACCATTGCCGTCTATCAGAAACCAGGTCGCTTCATCAAGGGGTATTTGCTAAACCAACAGAGACCATAGAAATGTGAGCACACACTGTATCTTTAGGACTGGGCGGCGTCAGGAGTCGCTCCATTAGTCTGCCCGTTCGCACCACCGCGGCCACGAGGACCTCCTCGACCGCGTCCGCCGCGTCCCCCACGACCTCGGCCTCTGCCACGAGCATCGAGGTTCACTGGGGGCGGCACGTTGCCGTACATGGGCTGCTGGGCCGGCTGCTCGTGAAGACCAGAGTAGCCAGGGTTCTGGATGGGTCCTCCACGGCCGCGTCCTCTGCCTCTGAAGCCTCCACCGCGCTGGCCTTGACCGTTGGCTTCGTGGTTCTCCTCTCCGCCGTGTTGACCGTTGGGATGAGGTCTGTACACAAGGGTGCTGTGGAGCAAGTTGGGACCGCCTCCACGACCACGGCCGCGGCCAGGCTGACCCTGGCCGCCGTTGGCACCACCACGCCAAGCGCCACGGTCTGGGGCAGGCGCATCTCTGTACTGAGGAACGCCCGTGGCAGCAGTGGTAAGCGACGCGGGGGCTGGGGCAGGCTTGCGCTGCATTCCAGCCTTGGAGCCGGAGACAACCTGCTTGAAGGTGGTGTTGAGCACCGAGGAGGAAGCGACTGTCATACCGCGGAAAGGCGGAGCTCTTTCACCCAAAGTCGTGCCACTCATGAAGGTCAAGTCCCAGACAACATCCAAGAGCAGGTTGTTGGCAGTACGGCTGAGGCCGACGACAGTTCCTCGGCTGCCGAGAGGCACCTTGCCAGAAGAAGACAGGAAGCTGACACGATCGCCAAGGGCAAACTTCTGGCCACTTAAGAACAGCTCAGCGTCGCTAGGCTTCATGATAGCTGAGCGAGGAACACCCTTCATGTTCTTGACCTCGACTTCGTGGGACTGCGTGAAGGCCTGCGCGCCTGCCTCAGCAAGCTTCATGACAACGACCGAGTCGAGCTGCTCGGCCTCCAAGGGCACCCTCTCAAAGTTGCGGGTTTGCGCCTCCTTAAGCCAGGCTCCGATTTCCTTCACTCGCTGAGATCCCACCTTGGGGTCCTTCCAGAGATCGGTATCGCTCACGTCACTAGCCTGAGGGTTCTGTTGGATGGCGGCGAAGAAATCAGGGAAGGCAGCAATGTACCTGGCCAAAAGCTCGATAGCGGCGTTGCTGAACTCCCATCCAGACTCTGACTTCTGCGAGTAGCCAAGAACCTTCTGCTTCTTCGCATCGAACTTCAGGTTGAGACCGAGATTGACGCGGAGACCACCAACGGTGTTAACTTGGTAGGAAGACAGGATCTTGCTCAGAATCAAGGGGTGGAGGCCGAGCATCTTTGCGACGGCGTATGACGGAGTGTATCGGTTCTGGCGCTTCATTTCTTGAATGATGGGCTTAGCGAACTCGGGTTCCTTGTTCTTGAGAACGAGAACTCGGATGTTGGCCTTATTGTTGGCGTGGCCAGTGACCTCGAGAGCCCGTCCGTAGTTGTACTCGCCCAAGAAGAAAGCCTGGGTACCAACGGGGTACTCCTCCTCAATGGGAACAGCAGCCTTCTCAATGAAGCGCTGGTCCTCGTTGACGACTTCGTCAACAATGGTCTGAGAAGCATAGACGCTTCTCATGCTGGGATTCAAGTCGTATTCCTTGATCAAAGCACCCTCCTCGGTCTTGATCAGTCCCTTGAGCATATGGACGTGCACCAGAGACTCTACATCGCCAATGACGATGCCCAGACGCTTAGAGTGCCACTCCTCAATGTAGCGGGACTCCTTGGCGAAGAAGTGCATTTCTTTGGGACCGAGATGCGTCTGGACGACTGAGCCGTTTTGGTCAAGCTCGTAGTCGAACAG